TCCCCTTGGTTCACATGTGTTCATGTGCATTGCTATAAACTTGTATTCAAAAAGAAAATCACTACTCACTGAATTAACTCTAAAAGATAACGTGGAGTCATAGTAGCCTCCTAGAAATCACTTTATTAGCCACAAAACTTGGAATAATTGTTTCTGCATTTATTTATTAGGTCTACACCACTCTTTACATAAAGGATCTGAAATAGCCCTTTGGAATATCAATAAACATCTATCTCCAACTCACACATACAATAGTTCACAGTAGTACTTATATAGTTTCCTTTTTAAAGTGTTTAAATGATTTTGTCAAAAGCTTAAACATGATATATTTTTATGTATTTTATATTATCTAGTGGTAAAGAATCCGCCTGCCAATGCAAGAGATGTAGGGTCAACCCCTGGGTCGAGAAGGAAATGGAAGAAATCTCCAGGATTCTTGCCTGGAGAATCACATGGACAGAGGAGCCTGGCAGGCTACAGTCCATAGGGTCACAGAGTTAGACATGATTGAAGCAACTTAGCATGCAAGCATGCACACAAAACAATCAACTTCAATTTTATACATTTCTGTGTTCCTGAATAATGTAACCCCATGGAACCTGAAATTTACCTTATCATGAAAAAGTTGACCACACAGTTCAGTTGTCATATGAAGACCGGCCAGAAAACCCAAGACCCCTAGACGTTTCCCTATTGCTGTGCGCCAGCAGCAGCTGCCCTGCTGGTTCTCACTCATCAGCATCAAGGATGAGGAGAATCTCGTCAGTTCTCTTTTCACTCAGCTAGTGAGCATGATTTTTTCTTCAACTGAAATTTCATTATTTCCTTTTGTGGGTATCTTCCTCAAATTTATCTTTAGCCCAACAATCTTTTTCTCTGCGCTTATTTCACTCTGAAGCTTTGTCACAGTTTTCCACCACAGCTTCCAAGGTCATTCGAAACCTGGGTGCTTGTAACAATTAGCATCTGCCGTAATGTTAGAGCAAAGGCAGAAATTATAATTCATTTTATATTGGCTTTTCTCAAGCTATATTCCACAAAACACTAGTTCATCCAGGTGTTAACATGTGTTATGAACAAAGGTTCCATGGTTAATAATGGTTTGTGAAACACTGGTCATTATTACACACATTAACATTTTAAAGACTCCAAGAAGTCCTTCAGTAAAGAAATTTGTTGAGTTTGACTTTTTCCAATTTTACTTGCCACAGACTGTCCCACTAATATCAATTTCATGAAAGATAATTCAGGACATAAATATTCATGGTTCTCATAGATCACTAGGGTAGACAGTCATTATCCACATGATATAGATGAAGATGTATTTACAAACTGAGATAATTACTCTTAAGACCCTGACTTGGGCTGGAAGTTGGAGAATATTTTTTTCAAGGATGTCACTCTTTTGCTCAAGACCTGATTGGTGAGTAGGAGTTAGCTACCTGCTGTTGGGAGTGGGGTAGCATAAGGATCCTTCCTTAGGTCATGTGGTCCATTCTTCTGTCTCAGTGAAATGGCTCCCAGGCTTCTAGGTCAGCTTAGAAGACATGCACTAGGAAAATATATTTCATTCTCTGTGACATATGGCCATCCATTTTCGTCCCTGGTAATACTGCGATTTCCTTAGAGAGGGAAAAAGAAAGAACAGAGAAGCGCCACTGAAGCTTTTTGGGGAAACAAAAAGCCTCATAGGATTAGGAGACAGCTGGGATGTGGGAGGTGGTAGTTGTGAAGAGAAAAGAGGGAGATGCCAAAGATGACACCCATTTTTATAAGACTTAGTTATTTTTACAAGTGATCGTACAGACTGTTCAACTGTGGTCCGTGAAACATAGACTGTCACTTGTCATCACTCATCAGTAGTCAGAGGATATTGTGTAGTACAAACCTCAGGAGTCTAGCATATTTTGCATCATACACTTGTTACTTGAATGCTGAAATTATTCACCTTCACCAACGAATGGACTAAATTTAGTGTTTAAAGGTTTGAAACCAGATGCAGGAGGCATTCACAATTAGGGAAGCAACTGTGAGTTTATTTGAAGACCATAATGTTGAGGATTCTTTCTTTGATCTTTTTTTTTTTTTTTTGCAATTTTCAGAGAAAATGATCTGAACATTCTGCTCCCTCTGGCAGAGCATCTAGTTTTGAGAAATTTGATATTCACCTCCTTCAAGGCTCCCCTAAATGCAACACACTACAGTAAGGCAGACCTTATTGCAACATTAAACAGATGATGGTGGCTTTTCTGGAGTAACATGGCTCTTCATGACAGACCAACAGAGGACTGTTGATACATCATTTACCTTAACAGGCATGTTCTGGCCTGGGAGATTAGATGGTCAGAAATCCAGGAATCTAGCAGAGAGCAATAGAGAGAAAGAAAGAGAGAATGAGAAGAAACAAAATACTTAGTCCTAGGAGTACAAGTAGGATGGATTATCAAGAAAGGATAGGGTCTCCAAGGGTTGAAGCTTAGGGGAGGGGCAAGAACCAAGAGTGTTGGCAAGAGCCTGTATTGCTCTGAAGCAGCGCAGACCTATTGAACATCATGAGATTTCAGCCTGCCCCAATGATGCACACTTGGTGTTGTGAGAACTCCTGTTCTGGCAGCAAATCAGTGCTATTAGATTGGCCCTGAGGGTTTAGGGAACAGAGTTGGAACAGAACAGGGTCAAGAGTTGCGGTGCCAGAGGCAAGCCCTTAGAAGTAAACTCGTCTGGCCACATTTTGACCTTTGGGTTGGTGGCATTGTAAAGTTAGCACATGACTGTGAGTAGTGAAAACGCAAAGTGAGAAGCCCTCTCTACGAGAGATTGCTCTGGAGGAAACCTCACTAGTTTATAGTTGAAGTTCTGAGAAATCTGTCATTTAACTTTCAATATAATGTGTTCTTCAGAGTGCACGTTCTGAAATCAAATGGATTAAACCTTGAATCTTCACTCAGCCACTCAGTGATTTGCTGTATCAGTCAGGTTCCCTTCAGGAAAACAGAGCCATGTCAGTTACTAGATGAAACTTAATAAAGAAAACTAATTACAAGTGGAAAGAAAGATGAAAAGCTGAACAGGAGGCATTGCAATCCATCCCTTTTGCCTCCTCTCCATCTCAGGATCTTTCAGCTTTAGTTCACACTGAAACTTGTTTACTTCTTCACATATTTCCCAATCTAACTTCATTGGAACAAGAATCTTAAGAGATCAGTTCTTTTTCATTTGGTGAAACTCTCTATTCCAGGGCCCCTCATAGGAGCCCTATGGTTTGGATGCTTTTTGAGTAAGGAGCTCACTCTTGGTCCAGTCAGCAGTTTTGAAAGGAGTAGGGCAGGATGATATGGTCCAAAATATGGCTTCCTAGGGGCTTCGCTGGTGGGTCAGTGGTAAAGAATATCTCTAATGCAGGAGTTGTAAGAGACACAGATTCGATCCCTGGGTCAGGAAGATCCCCTGGAGTAGGGCATGGCAAACCACTCCAGTCTTCTTGCCTGGAGAATCCCATAAACAGAGAAGCCTGGCAGGCTACAGTCAACAGGGTTGCAAAAAGTTGGACACGACTGAAGCAACTTAGCCTGTACGCATGCGTGGCTTCCCAGCACTGTTCCTCTAGAAGGGCTGCGACTGGGTAACCAGCAGGGGTCTCACTTCTGCCCCCGTGTTCTTGTGCTCTCAAGGGTGTTTTGGTTCCCATTATCCCACAGGAGCTAGAACTCCTGGCCACTTCTGCTCACTTACGGTTCAGACCGCTATGGTCCCTCTTTCCACTTTTTCTTTTCTGATTACAGTACTTATGGATATTTATCTTGTTTGAACATGATCATTTTTTTTTTAATTTTCTTTTTTGTATATCACAGTAGTGCTTTTAGAATAAAGCAGAGCCTCAAATTTTAATTTACTGCACCATCTCAACTAGAGTTTGTGCCACTAATTTCTAAATTTATATCTAATACAAAGTTGGAAGTTTTCAAAATTAAGTTCATATGAGAAACTCTTTTAAGAATAACAGGTGACCAAATGGAGAAAAGAAGAAAGAGATAAAGGTAACCTTAACTCACACGTTGAAGGAACTTGATGCTGATACCAGAAAAGGTATACAAAGAGTATTGTGAAGACTGTCTCTTCAGGCATAAACTGTTTTGGTGACCAAGTTCCCCTTATGTTAAAATCAATAACTCTCTTATGTTAACAAAGCAAAAACAAAGCCCATAAACAACAATAACAATAAAATAAAAAAACAACCAAAATACCAATATTGGTGAATGGATGACTCAAGTGATGAAGGGAACATGAGCTCAAAGACAGTTGTGGAGATTGAGATGAAAGTAAGACACTTTGTCTTAAAAATCATCAAATCCTCCTTACCTCCTCCCAACACACTGGCCAAAAATGCTAAACCAACCAATAAAAAATCATGAATAGCCTGGGACTAGGCAATATATGAAACCATGTGAAAAAGTAAACTGCCCACGGGGTTAACTGTTGAGTGAACAGAGTTTCTAGGGAGTAAAGGATCATGGCAGAGGATTTCTCAGCCCATCTCAGTTTCTGCCACAGAGGTCGACAGAAAGGAGGGCAAGGCAGAACAAAGCAACTCAACTCCGTCCCCCAGACTCCAGGGTCCGTGTGAGTCCTGAGCACCTCCCCAGACTGGCGGTGGATGAGGCCTGTCTTTCCTCAGTCTCTCAGTGGTCTGTCAGGACTTATACCTAAGCATTTTTTGGTGTTTTCTTCACCAAAGCATTTGGGAGAGTCCTCTCACCCTCTGGGTTGGGGATAGGGCAAAGGAGGACTGAGAATGTTCTGGCCTTCACATTTGAGGGAGAGAAAAATCAAAGCTTCCTGAGAATTAGGATGTAGTGGAAAGTGGGGCTTTCTACTACCTTTCAGACTTATAGAGTGAGCCCAGATTGATTAAGGAGTGGAAGAACTGTCTTCAGTGACAGGATTCTTTCTGGTTGGAAATGTTGTGGCTGGACTTGCTGATTGGAGAAAGGAAGGCTCATTTAATGCTGCCAGAAAAGAAAGGCCTGGATGACATCTGCAGGGTTGTTCTTGTCCTCAGAACAGACAGGATATCGACTAGCTGCCTCTTGAATGATTGCACTGGGGCTGAAAAGTGGATCAGGCCCTGGAGAGTCAGAGGGGGAGAAGTCCAAAGTGAGGTGAAGCTGACATGGAGGAGGGGAGGGTAGCAGGGGAGTCGAGGGACCTGAGACCTTTCCTGGGCCCTGAGACCCTCTCACAGTGTGGCTTGCTCTTTTCTTTCCTCTTCAAGAAAAAAGGAGGACAAGATTATTTTCAAAGTCCCTCCAAGTCTAATACTGATTCATACAGGCTGGGTAGAGGGATGGGGCCCCCAGGGCCTGGAGATTGGCTCAACTGGATGCTAAGGGGACAATTTCACTTTAAACATCAAAATGGCAAAAATGGTAAAGAGAAGAAAGGACCCAGTTTCTCTCCTCTCAGAAATATCAGAAGATTTTAGATCTGATTTCATCAAAGGTTTTTTCTTTTTTCTCTCTCAAAAAAAGATTATACTGTGTTTTACTCATAATCACTTCCAATGACTTCAATACTTCACCAGCCTCAGTGTAGCTGCTGGTTTTCACAGTTAAGGTAGAAGATCTTCATTTAATGATCTTAAAAGTGGTGGTATGAAGCTGGCCCATGGCGACACTCTGGGAAATTACAGAGGTTGTGTCTAATGTTTTTGTTCTTTTACTATTTATTCAGATCCAACCCTCACCTTTTCTTCCAGATAAGAAAGTCCCAAGGAAATGCTTCTTTAGAGTCACTCACTATTTGTCCAATATTTGTTAAGAGCTACTGTGTGTTGAGATCTAGCACTGAGACAGACGCTGGTGACAAAGAGGGAAACAAGACAGATGAGATCTCTGTCTTCTTGGTAGCAACAGACAGATGTGTGCACGGAGGGGCACAGCCTGGAAACAAGAAAGCAGAAAATAAGGTATGAAATTATGTACTGTGATGAGAGCTGTGACATGGACAAAGAGCTGAGAGGGGGAAATGACTGGGTGAAGGTAAAGCCTCGGTGTTGGGCAGAGGTGAGGGGAACTCTTGTGTGTGGGCAGAGGTGTCTTTGCAGTGGTCACATTTCCTCTAAAACTTGTAAGGGAAAGCAGCTATGTCAAGAGAGCAGCCCTGACTCTAGGTAAAGCAAAACTACTGTGGCGTCTGACAGGTAAGAGTGACCAGTGAAAGGAGCTGATGGATCCTCAGAGAACTGGAAAGATGAATGCATATGCTCTTTTCTACACACTATCATATGTGGGATTTTAATTTGTAAGATTTAGCTTAGCTATCAAGAAAACCTTCCTAAGTCTACAATATTAGTATGAAACATTGGCAAAGGCTCTTAAGACGGGCTGGAACCACTCACAGGCCTGCCCTTCTTCAGTAGAGGACCTGTCAGAAATGAGCTTGTTGTGTTGTCACTTTCCACGTGAAGACCAACAGGGGTACTTGTTTGCAAAGTTTGGGACTGGAAAAGTCTCCACTTAAAAAAAAAATCATTCCATTAGTGGAAGCCCAAATAATGGAAAATGAATTCGAATGATAAGTTAACTCTTATTGAACCTAATCTTTGCCAAGCTCTTAGAAATTGTTTTACATGTTTATTTTAAGCTTCATCTTTATGAGGTAACAGTTATCATTATGCCAGTTTTACACATAAAAGCAACTACAAAGAAGTCCATCTGCTAACTGAAGACCCCAAGGCCGTAGGACCCCAGACCCTGTTCACGTAACCGTTAGGGCACACTGCTTGAGGCATCAGTTTCCCATAAGGAATTCAGCTTATACATTAGTAAGGACATGTGAAGTTTCTCTGTTTCTAGACTTCTTTAAGAGAATGTCAGTATTCCATCCATGAGTGAGATTTGTGGAACTCAGGAATTTGCATTTTTAGATTGTTTTCTAGTTGATTCTAAATGCTATTGGCTAATGTTTGAAAAGCACACACAGGGCATTCACAAGTATGGAGCAAAGAGGCTGGATGGACTCTGAATTCCTTCAATGATAACCGTAGTAGTAGTAATAATAGTAGCAATATCATTTCTTGAGTGCCTTTCCTGGGTCAGACATTATATTCTGTTCAGTTCAGTCGGTCAGTTTTGTCTGACTCTTTGCAACCCCATGGACTGCAGCACAACAGGCTTCCTTGTCCTTCACTAACTCCTGGAGCTTGCTCAAACTCATGTCCATCGAGTCAGTGATGCCATCCAACCATCTCATCCTCTGTTGTCCCCCTCTCCTCCTGCCTTCAGTCTTTCCCAGCATCAGAGTGTCTTCCAATGAGTTGGCTCTTCCCATCAGATGGCCAAAGTATTGGAGCTTCAGCTTCAGCATCAGTCCTTGCAATGAATATTCAGGACTGATTTCCTTTAGGATGGACTGGTTAGATCTCCTTGCTGTCCAAGGGACTCTCAAAAGTCTTCTCCAACACCACAGTTCAAAAGCATCAATTCTTCAGTGCTCAGCTTTCTCTATGGTATAACTCTCACATGCATGCATGACTACTGGAAAAACCATGAGACAGTGCAGTTGTGCAGCAGTTTGAATATTCTTTGGCATTGCCTTTCTTTGGAATTAGAATGAAAACTGATCTTTTCCAGTCCTGTGGCCACTGCTGAGTTTTCCAGATTTACTGGCACATTGAGTGCAGCACTTTCATAGCATCATCTTTGAGGATTTGAAATAGCTCAACTGGAATTCCATCACCTCCACTAGCTTTTTCATAGTGATGCTTCCTAAGGCCCACTTGACTTCATACTCCAGGATGTCTGGCTCTAGGTGAGTAATCACACCATTGTGGTTACCTGGGACATTAAGATCTTTTTTGTATATTTCTTCTGTGTATTCTTGTACCTTTTCTTAATATCTTCTGCTTCTATTAAGTCCATACCATTTCTGTCCTTTATTGTGCCCATCTTTGCATGAAATGTTCCCTTGGTATCTCTAATTTTCTTGAAGAGATCTCTAGTCTTTCCCATTCTATTTTTTTCCTCTATTTCTTTGCATTGATCACTGAAGAAGTCTTTTGTATCTCTCCTTGCTATTCTTTGGAACTCTGTATTCAAATTGGTATATCTTTCCTTTTCTCCTTTGCCTTTAGCTTCACTTCTTTTCTCAGCTATGTGTAAGGCCTCCTCAGACAACCATTTTGACATTTTGCATTTCTTTTTCTTGGGGATAGTCTTGATCACTGTCTCCTGTACAAAGTTATGAACCTCCATCCATAGTTATTAAAGCACTCTATCAGATCTAATCCCTTGAATCTATTTGTATTGTCACTTCCACTGTATAATTGTATGGGATTTGATTTAGGTTATATCTGACCTAAATCCATACTTTCTTCAATTTAAGTCTGAATTTGGCAATAAGGAGCTCATGATCTGAGCCACAGTGAATTCCTGGTCTTGTTTTTGCTGACTGTATAGAGCTTCTCCGTTTTGGCTGCAAAGAACATAATCAATCTGATTTCGGTGTTGACCATCTGGTGATGTCCATGTGTAGAGTCTTCTCTTGTGTTGTTGGAGGAGGGTGTTTGCTATGACCAGTGTGTTCTTTTGACAAAACTCTGTTAGCCTTTGCTCTGCTTCATTTTGTACTCCAAGGCCAAACTTGCCTGTTACTCCAGGTATCTCTTGACTTCCTACTTTTTCATTCCAGTCCCCTATGATGAAAAGGACATCTTTTGGGGGGTTAGTTTTAGGTTTTGTAGGTCTTCATGGAACCATTCAACTTCAACTTCTTCAGCATTAATGGCTGGGGTATAGACTTGGGTTACTGTGATATTGAATGGTTTTCCTTGGAAATGAACAGAGTTCTTTCTGTTGTTTTTGACATTTTATTAGATGTTTCGATGTGTGATTTTATTTAATCTTGATAATTCTGTAAGGAGCATATGATTTTACATTTTACAAATGAGGAAATCAACACAGAGAGAAAAGTAACTTGGCGAAAGCCATGCAGACAGTGAGTTGCAGAACTGACATTCTAACTCCACCTGTCTGTTCATGTTCCACAATATCATACTTGGTATCTGTCATTCTGCAGGGTCATTTTTCAATGCTGGGCAGCCAGATCAACCTTGATTTTTTTTTTCTTGTCTCATCTCAAAGCATAGCCAGATATTTAAATGAAAGCTTTTTAGACATCTGGCCTTTGGCAAATTGTTTAGCCTTTTATTATCTTCTTTGCAAGATTGGAAAAAAGTAGTGCCTACCTCATAAACTTTTTTAAGGATTAAGTGAGATAGTCTACATAAAGTATTTAAAGAAGTATCCCACATTCGGTAAACACTCAATGAATGAAAGTTGTTATTACTATTACTGCCATTATGCTGTCCAATTCTCCCTCAGATGAATTTGGACATTGTCCCATGATCAGAATTTCTGACAACCAAGAATAATGCTGGTTTCCTCTTGATCCTCTTGAACTGGCAAAAATCAGCCTACTCTGTAAAAAGCAGAAGCAAAGAGTCCTCAGATATCTTTGACCAGCCCTCACAAGATAGCAATCATGGCATAACATTTCTCATCTCAGAACCCTTCAGGGGCAACTCGAGCTCTACTTGTGCATTTGTAAGTTCATATTCTCATTTCTGCTGTTTTTCCTTTGTTAAGTAAACTTACACTTTTCACTAATCATTAACATCCTCCCCATCTATCCATCCACCCATCTATAAAATAGTTGTTGAGGACCTATTCAGTGCCACACACTCTTCCAGGCACCGTGGATGCAGCAGTGAAAAAAAAAAAAAGATCCCTCCCCTCTTGGAGCTTACACTCTAGTGGAGGCTGAGAGATTAACATAAATAAATAAGGCAAGTATAAAATCTATTAGATGATGATAAGTTCTATGGAGGACCCTACAGTAGGGAAAGGGTATTAAGAATGCCAGGGAGTGCAATGGCAATTTTGAAGAGTGTTTTCGAGGAAACCTTCATCAAGAAAGTAATATTTCAACTAAGGCTTAAAAGAGGTGAGGGAGTAAGTCATGTGGATTTCTGGGGGAAGAAATTTGCAGGGAAGATTTTAGCAAGTAAACAGTCTTGAGGCAAGCATATTTGAGCGGGAGAGACGGTATTGGTAGCAGAGTCAGAGG